CCCCCGCCCCCATGCCATAGGGCCTATCTTTTGTGGCCCTGATCTGAGTAGTAGAGAGTGGTAGCCAGGCACCATCTAATTCTTCAGGTCTCAGGATACAAAGAAAACTCCCAAACCCCAACCCATTGCCATACAGTTAACTCTGCCTTGCAGTGACCTAGCTGAGAAAGTGGAACTGCCTCGCAGGGTTTCCACGCCAGTAATCGGTGTGGAAGCACACTGCCAAGTCCTGCTCTTGAGGAGAAAGTGATGCATGTGAACTTCTGGGTAGCAGCCAAGCACGTTAACCACTGCACTGGTGAGTGGGGGGGGTGTCCCTGTGGTCTCAGGGTAGATAAAGCCGATTCAGTTGAGTTGGAATTAACCACCTGGGTAAATGGCTCCTTTCAGGGTCTCCTCTCTGTGATCTGAGGTCTCTGGGTTGCGTGAGTGGTTAGTGCACTTGCCCGATAACCCAAAGATTGGAGTCCTGCGTCCACCCAGAATGCCTCAGAAAAACCTGGTGCTCTGTCCCCCAAATCTGCCATGGACACCCCTGTGGAGCACAGTCCTGCTGACACATGGGGGCCGTCATGAGTTGGATCATCTTGATGACCACTGGTTGTGTCTTGTTCTTCTCTAAGCTGCAGTTGGTACCAGGCCTAGGACCACGCCACAGCTAACTGATCGCCATTCCTATCCTCAGGCAGCTTGGGTTGGCGAGGGTGAAATGGGCACGCGCATTGTTGCAGTCGAAGGTCGAAGGGGCATGCCCAAGGTGGTAGCTCAGAAAGGGTGGCTTCCTGCAGATAGATATGAAGGTGACCTCCGGCGCCGAGCAAGATTCGGCCTGATGGAAAGGAAGGAATCCCGGATGCAGGATCTCCCCTCTCCAAGTGGTGGCCCAGGTCCACGCTCGCCTTCCTTCTCCTTCTTTAGGTCTCTGAGATCCACTGGTTGGCTGGGCCTAAAATTCGGACACTCAGTGGGGCGACCTGGGGGTCTTCTCCTCGGCTCGATCTCTTCCCTGTCATCTGGCCTCTAGTTAGCATACCGAGCTTCCTCTCCACTGACCGCCTCCCATCTCTGCTCCCAGTCGCCGGAGAGCAAAGCCCTGGTTGCTCTGTTAACATTTACAGTCGGTCCCCAAATGCCTTTTCCACATCACTTTCCACTACTTCCCTCTGAGAGTGTTCTCTGCGCCCTCACACCCAGTACGGTGACGACGCCCCACCCCTTCCTTTCTACATGATCCGGGGTTTTCAAGCTGGAGTAGGCCTGTCACAGGCACACTTGCTTAGTTACAGATGCCCACAATCTGTGCGATGATTTTGATTCTGTAAGATGGGGGTGGGGCCTGACAGCTTATATATATATATATATATATATATTTTTTTTTTACAGCTTATATTTTTAATACATTTTCAGATAATGTTCCTAATGATCCTAAGGACTCCCACGCCACATTCTGAGAATCACTGCTCTGATCCGATGCTGTCCGTTCCTTAAGATCTATTCAGGGCCCTTGTGCGCCACCAGCCCCAGCCTTGCAGTCTTCCAAGCCCACAGTTCCTGCTCCTACGTCTGAACTCTGACCCCGCACCTTTCTGCTGGTCCCTGTCAGGGGACTTCCGGTAACAGGGGCTCCAACACTGAACAGGGAATTACCTTGTATTTTGTCTCTTCTCGTCTCCCCCTCAACTCCTGAGAATTTTACCCCGGAACGGTCCTCAAACCACGCTTTTCCCACAAATATCATAACCTAGCTCATTCCGTGTTTTCCCTTATTGCAGTTGGCCTCACATGCTGTGTTTTTTTGTTTTGTCCTCAGTCTCTTTGACCATCTTACAGTTTTCTGTACTGCTCAGAGGCAAACAGGGCTGGCGGAGGTCCATGTAACTCTGAGGATCCTCTTATTGGCCGCACCTGATTGCTAGTCAAAGTGAATTCCTGCTGTCTAGCGCGTCAACAGAGACATCCTGCGATTGTCCTGGCACGTGAGGGCCCTTACTGTTCTGTTTGCTTGCTAGTGATCAACAATTGCATCCCGACACCCGCCAGGTCAATGTGAAACACCTGGGGAAGTGTCTGATTCCTCCAGGGCATGAGTTCCAAAGTAAAGCGAGATTCCTTGTCTCTGCAGCCTGCTTTGCTGTCGCACTGCCTGCTGGGTCACCTCAGTTCTCAGCCTTCTCTCTGGAGCGGGAGCCCTGGCTCTGCTGCTCCAGCGTCGTCGTCGTGGTAACTCTCAGTCGGAATAACAATGCTGGTCTTGTTCAGGTCACACCTTTCCTCACCTGGGTTGCTGTCCTCCAGCTTCCTCAAGTTCACCTTCTCACAGCACCTGCAGGGACCCGGGTTGCACATCCAGGCATGCCCTTCTCTCCTCAGGGCCCTTTAATGGCGCCTGAATACCCAAGGCCCAGTCCCAGCATCTCAGCATTGCCATTCAAGAACCTTCCTGCCGGGCCGGCTTCGCTGGCCTCAGTCCTTACCAATTTGCCACTCCCCCCATGAGTTCTTTTCCCAGTTGGCAGAGAACCCACGTTTTTTTAAAAAAATAAATCGTGTTATTGTGGGCTCTTAGAGCTCTTATACCAATCCATACATCAATTGTATCAAGCACATTTGTACATACATTGCCATCATCATTTCCAAAACATTTTCTTTCTACTGGAGCCCTTGGTACCAACTCCTCTTTTTTACCCCTTCCTTCCCCCACCCTCCCACCCTTGTGAACTCTTGATAATTTTTATATTATTTTACACCATCCGCTGTCTCCCTTCACCCGAGTTTCTGATTTTTGTCCCCCAGGGTGGGGGGAGTTGTACATCTATCATTGAGATTGGTCCCCCCCCCACCCCTTCCCCTTACTCTCATGGTATGGCTGCTCCCATTATTGATCCTGAGGAGTTTATCTGTCCTGGATTCCTTGTGTCAAGAGCTCTTATCAAGATAACCCATCTTGCCCAGGCAGGGCATATGTGACAATTACAGCCGAGAATCTGCTTCTAGGTTTTCATATTGAGTTCCCCGAATTGACTGTAAGGATTCTGAAAGTATGCATGCCATCCATTTATGCTCCAGGCCTGCTGACTAACCACTCCATCTCCCTCAGGTCCTGCCCCCTTTAGTGGGCGTGCCACAGGCTCCTGCCCACAGCAGCAGAGCCACCATGCCTGGGGGACCCTCCTTCAGGAAACAGCTCGTGGTGCTGCAGTTGGGTGAGTGCTCAGACTTCAGGTTGGGACGCAGAAGGCCCGGGAGGAGAAGCCCGTTGGGAGGTGCAGAGGTAAGAGATCAGGGTTGAGGTGGGTTGCTTTGATGCCTGACACCTTCTTTTTCACCCAGCACTGCTCTGGGCAGCCGCTCTGGGAAAGGAGGTGGTGCTGGGTGAGGTGGGCAAGACGGCCGAGCTCCCCTGCAAATCCACCAGCCACTTCTTCATTTGGAAGACGAATGGCACCAAGCTTGTGAGCAAACAGAACCAGCACTGTCTGAAAGGTAGGCTTCCTGGCTTAGCCATCTGGCAAAGCAAAACAAACACCACCCTCTGCACCGCACAGCCTGGTGTCAGAATCCTCCTTCTGGACAACTCTAAATCACAAAAGGCCAGCATTCACAGGGACTCAGGGGCTCCCCCCGTGTTGCCCAACCCTGAGTGACTCTGGGAAATGTCTTTGGCCATATCCATTTTAATGATTTAGTATTTATGAACTCGTTTGATTGTGCATTGCAAAATTAATTTGAAAACACACGATGTCATGAGTAGGGTTCCTATCCAGTCATGTAGATGCTACTGTGCTCACTCTGCTTGACAGCAATAGAGTGGATTTTTAAAATTTAGCTTTAAAAGTGAAATCTATAGACTTAAGACTTTAATACTTCTTAGAAATATTATTTTACCAAAAAAATAAATATTATTTTACAGTAAAGAAGTTTTGTTTTATATGTACCACTTCACTCTTACATCCTCCTTTAAATAACACTTAATTATGCTTATGGCTTCTTATATTCAACATATTCTTAAATTATGACTCCCGAAAGGGCCACAAGTAGGAAAAACCTCAACAGCACGAACCGCTTTTGTTCTAAATATGTATTTGCATTCTGTTAGTTTTTTAATTAATTTATTTTAATTTATTTTTTATGTTTGTATTTTGTAACTTTAGTAGATTTAACATCTTTTCTTTACTTCCTATTTTAATATTTTATTTTACATCATGAAATCTTAAACACACATAAAAGTAGAATAATTATTTAACAAGCTCATTCAGATTCTACAGCTCAGGACCAATTTTGTTTTGTTTGCACCTCCTTACAGTATTATTCTGGGGCAAATCCAAGACATTGCATCATTCAGTCTGCAAATGCTTCCATCTACACACCCACACCTTATCTACAGAGGTACTTAGGTTCCAAAGACCCGGTCATTATGAGAAATGTGCCATTGTGTGAAAATGGAGAATGGTCACATCAAATCACAAAACAGAGAATGACTACACTCATTTTTTTGTTGTCATTATGTGACTACCAAATCTTTGAGAACCATGGCCCAACAAACTTGGCACCCTGACCAGCAAAACCACTGTTACTTCCTTTCACACCTCATTATTTGTTACTGCCGGATGTACATCATTAATGCGCAAAAGAATTGGCCAACAAATTTTTATCAATATCAGAAGTATGAAATGTTGGATAACAAGAAAGTCAGTAAGTGAGGACTACATGTATTTCTAAAATACAGTGACTATTTTCAAAATAGATCCACAGTGCCATTATCAACCCTTAAAAACCCAAACTCAACAATTATAATGAATATTCACTCTGTGTTAAATTTTCCCCATTTGTTACATTATTTTTATATTTGGCTTATTTGAGTCAGAATAAAAATTTAAATGCATGCATTGTATTGGTTGATGGCTTACACTGATTCCTGAATGAATCTCTTTGGATTTATACATTGCTTCTCTGTTTCCTCATGCAATTGATTGGTTGAAGAAACCAGTTACAGTAATGGTCCTATTAGGTTTTGCATATTCGGAATGGCTACCCCATGCTGTCGTTTACCAGGCTGTCTGTGTGTCCTACATGCGCACCAACCATCTCACTATCTAACATTTTGCACTGACAATTGTTTAAGAAATCACTGCTGACTGGTCTGTGCATGAGCGATGTACTTCTGGCAGCAGCACACACCAAAGGGCCAGGCAAGCACCCAGAGGCTGTGAGGGTCATGTGGCTGTGCCAGATTCTCCGCGTTTAGCAGCGATGGAATGGTGTCCTTTGGCCATTACATAATGATGCAGTCATCATCCATCTTGCGATCTGACGTGGTCATCCTTCATCTCCTCGCATAATGACTGTCTTTGAAACCTAACCACGCTGCTGACTGGAGTAAGTGTGAATAGTGATTAGATGCAGAAGCTTGATCAAATCCACACTCGGTTTTTAAAAATAAGACCATTTCAGAGGCAGTGTTTTTTCCAGAAGTAACGAGGACTGTTTCTTCCTCCTGTTGATGGAAGTCAAGAGAGGAACCCATCTGCCACCATTTGATAGCCATGCAGTTACTGCTTCACCTCCCTGCCAGTTAAAACAAAGGCGTAAATAAGACTCAGAGTCTCATAGCCTAATACAAAAATGTGCATATTTAAATGGAAAAGAATGCATCGTGTAAAGAACCAGGAAGATCTCAAACTGAAAGAAAAAAGGCAATCAATCAAGGGCAGCACTAATGTACAATGGTATAGTGGAGATGTCTGATCTCTGATTTCATGAGTGGGGAAACTCAATCAGCATCACCCCACAGCTGACTCCTATGGACAAAGGTCAGACGTACCTTCTTGCTCTCCAAACTTGTTGTCAACTGGGACACCAGCTGTCCCTCCCCCAGCACTCGCTGTTTCTCTGCTGGGTTTGATCGGTCATTATACAGGCCACACTGAGCTCACAGACAATTCTCAGTCGGAGAGGGTTTGTTGAGGACATAACCAGTTATATAATTCAGGATCAGGGAAGATTCAAGAGATAGTTCTTTGGCCAAGACAACTTCTTGGCTGTGTCCACACGAAGCGCTCTCTTCGACCTTCAGTCTTTTGGCCTTTAGCCTCTCAGGCCTCTTGGGCTGAGCTGGCCTCTGCTTTGCTCTGACATTGTTACAAAGCTCTTCCACATCACAGAGGCACCTCACTCTGACAACAAGCCTCTCTCCACAGGTCCCCAATTCTTTCATTCTGTGAGTCAGGTGAGCTTAGTTCTACCAAAGGTCCAAAGGCATTCTACAGTAACTGCCTAGATCCAAGGGCTGTGAGGCCCACTATACTGTCTCTCACTGGTCACCTGGTTCTGAGGATGCCATTGTTCTACTTCTGTCTCTCACCATCGTCAGTGTTATAATTCTCTTTCTCCTGACTCTAAGAGGTTCTCAACAGAGGGAGCCCGGATCCAAATCATATCATTCACTCTTGATTTTCTTTCTTGCTAGTTGTGAGATCCTCTCTTTCTGTCTCTGGGGTGGCTCATTTAAACCTAGAAGGATGACAAAACTGACTAATCCCCCTGTTAGGGCTTTATATATCATATTGTCATGGCTCCATCCCTAAAAGGGTGTTTTGCACCGTATTTGCATTTTAGTAAAACTAACCAATCCCCTTGGTGGGCTTAGCACCATATTTGCATATAGCCCCACCCGAGCCTTGAGTGGGAGTTACAACACCACAGTAAGAAAGCCATATAAAAGTCATCCATGACCCCACAACTGAGAAGATCGAGATGTTAGAATCATCTGGCAACTATTTTAAAGCAGCTATGATATAAATGCTTCAATGAGCAATTAGAAACCCACTTGAAACAAATGAAAAGAATACATAGAAAACCTCAGCACAGAAAGAAGATCTAAAGAAAAAGGAAATTCTATACTTGAAAAGATAGAGCCGAAATAAAAATCTGAGTGGATGGTCTCAACAGAAGAATGGAGGGTAGAAAGAAATCGGCGAACTGGGAGAGAGAACCAAAGAAATGCCTACATTCAGGCAATGAAGAGGAAGCAGAGTCTAAGGAAAGGGCGAACAGAGCCTCAGAGAAAAACGACTTTTAAAAAGTGAACAAGAGTTTGGTGTGGAACTGCAAACATGATGCACCGTTATTGCCTGACCTCGTCTAACTTCACGAAGCGGGGCAAAGAGGAGCTTCAGCCCACGTCCGAAATATGTACGACCTCCAACCTTTTCACCAGTTCTGAAACCTGGCACCCCCTGGCACTGCTCGTCCGTCACACAGAACTCACAACAGACCCCTCGCTGAGGAAACTGACTAGAGAGCAGCAGGTCTCCACTAAGGACCAGGATCAAGAAGCCACAGTCGGGGTCAGGATGGTGAAGCACGCAAGCAGAGCCTCCTTTCTTCAGTGCAGAAGAGCACTTCGCTACCTCTTGGCTGTGTGCGGCTCCTCCCCTCACCCTCCTGAGACGCTCCTCTTGGCCTTCTCAGGATGGGCATCTTCTCTCAGCTCTCAGCCTGTCCCTACTTGGCCTTGGCCTGTGCTCTGGTCAAGAAAGCATTACAAGGCTCTTTTAACTCTACCAATAACGGTCCCCCTCCACCAACAAGCCTCTGCCCCGCTCTCTCAGTCTTTGGGTTGGGACGTTCACTGGCACAGCCCCCTCCAGGAAGTCCACCACGCCATCTCACATCCGTCTCCTCGTGATGCTGGTTATCACCATTTCTCTGCCACCACGTTTCCATTTCACTTCTTGTCAGCTCATGCCATCCCTGGGGGTACAACCCTCTCTCTTGCTTTCTCTTGCGCTCTCTGTCCTGGTTCCTGGGTCTAGGATGCTCCAATTCCAGCTCTTCTTTCTCAGTGGCAGTGAGGTACCCATTCAGCTTTGGAATTGGTTCTTTTTTAAGGCCAGGAAGATGGCACAACCAACTAACCCCTTGTGAGGGTTCTATTTGCATGGCCGTATTTGTATGCTTTGCATTATTAGCAATGCTGTCCAGTTCCCTTGGTGGCCATAAGCACATGATTTGCATAGTCCTGCCCAATCACGCTACACCATCGAGCCCATTCTGACTTGCAGCAACCCTCTAGGACAGGCTGGAACTGCCACTTTTTGGGTTTCTGAGGCTGTAAAACTTTTTTTCCCTTTCCCAACAGTTTTATTGTCACATGATTTATATATCCTACAATCCAATAGTTCAATCATCTTAAGAAGAATTGTACAATCATTATCACATCAATTTTAGAACACCCCCCACCCACCATGGCTAAATCGCCTTTAAATTGAGTTGTGCAATCACAGTCAGTTCTAGTGCTCCCTCCCCGTCCCGCCTTCATTGTTTACTCCCCAAACCCCCTTCCCCTCCTTATCACCCCCCTACCCCCCCCATAAACCCTGCATCAGTTATTCTCACTGTGCACCCACTGCTGGGCTTCACTCTCTGGGAAACCCAACAGAAACAATGAAAAACAAAATCGAAATCAGGTGGTTAGGATATGA